TAGGTGCGTTCCAATAAGTCTTCCTACCAATATGACCATGTTGCGAAAACAAGGTCAAACAACTTCTAATATACGTTTGCTTCATCGACAATCCCACCAAATAATATGATATGGTAAAAGGCCTGGCCTTCCTTGAAATTCACATCTGCCCTGTGACCCAAGGACACTCGTAGCAATGTGGTCGAGTGGCTAGTGTGTCAAGTTCCCATTCTTCACTGTCATGGTTCGACTCCCGCTGGGGGTGTTGATAAGACTGATGCGAGGTGGAAACTGCAATCCACCATGGATGAGAACAAATTTTGGGAAAGCAAGGCTATGTGAAATTCAATGGAAACGTCAGCTCTACTTATATCATTGTTGGAAAATGCTACTACCAGTCTTTCATCACCTTAAACGAAATAGGGTGAATACATCTCATATAATGTCGAAAAGCCGGAAACTTTATCAAGTCCTTTAGAATAGAGGTAGCTAATTAATATAAAATCGACGTCTGAGAACCAGTGCTCCAAAATTGAGCGTTCAATAGATCTACACATAATAAAACTAGCACCTACTATCATATAGGAAAGGAAAATGCATTCCTATTCTCTCAGACCTCAAGCTCTAATAAATCATCAGTGGCTGTTGAAGATGAATAAGAGATAATTGAAAATTCCCGGTTATAAGCTGACTGCATATCTATTTGTGGGTTTATTGAAACTATATTCGCACTAAAAATTCAGCATAAAGCGAAGGTTTGCTCATATATTGTCAACTCCAACTCACATTAACTAGATTTAAATAAAAAATAAAAATCTATGAAACTTAAAATCTCTGTGATATGCCAATGTATCATAAGTAACTATCCCTTGTTCAGGCATATACACTTGATAGGTAGTGACGCCTGCCCACATTTTCACATTAAGTAGGAAATAAATATCTAAAAATCTCGTTGACTCAGAATCGTGTAACTGTTGACACGTATAGGCACACACTCCTGCTTTAGGTCTGTTAGCATAGCTTCCAAAGTCAAAGAAGTATAGAAATTAATTTTAAAAGAATTGGTATATTTTGCAACAATACTACATAAATCAAAGCTCAGAGCGGCTGCCTCGAGTCCAGATGAAAGTCGACGAGGCCTGAGGGGCAATCATGAAACATATTCCAAAGAAGTTAATCTGAGAAGCTTTCCTGCATACTCTAATTAAAGGAATCCAAACTTATATATAAAATATAATCTCAAGTTATTTTTAAGTAGAAAAAAGAGCCACAAGTTAAAACTCCATAGTGACATTTTTGGCACAAGAATACCTATTAAATCAAACAGCCTATAGGATATTAAGAACTAAAACGTTTACATATTAGGGATGTAATAAAAAAAGTTTTCTCGAAGATGTGAAGACCAAGATGTTGTGGCCTCGGGAAAAAAAGTTTTGTTCGAAGTATTGCCAAGAAAGTTGTTATGGCATAAGATTAAGGAAGACATCGACTGGGTCAGGCAGAAAATAATTGCAGATAAATAAATAGAAGAAGAACCACTCCTTACCTTGCTTGATAGGGAAGCTCGTGGATCACTATGCTGGCCTACAGCATTGAGAAGTCCCCTAGGCACTAGAGATGTCATTGAGCTTAAATTTGCGGTATCATCATAATCTAGGAGAGTCAATCCTGATGGGTAAAGCGGACTGGAAGGTGATCTGCAAAGATTCGAAGCGTCCATTTTAGACAGATAAGTAGAACTCATTGAATCAACGGGGGAAGTAAACACTTCTTTCCGTTTTAGATGAACACTCCGCGATCTTGGTAACCTAGCTTTAGGTCCAGATTTCAAGCCAGAATCAGCCCTAAGGCATCGAAATCGGCTACCAAGTCCGACTTTGCATAAAAATCCTACCTCAAGGCTTGGGCTTGGAGAGCTACTAGAGGCCATCTTATTCGCAGAAGCAGATTCCAAAGCTACAGGTGACCAGGCGCCCAAGAAAGGACCTTTCTCAGCTCGAGGACAGTCAGCAGTGAGGCCAACTTTAGGAGATGGCTTAGTGGTCGAATCGTCGATGGTGGAATTGATATGGTCGAGGTTACCGGCAGGCCGAACACCCGAATTTGGATGACCATATAATCTAAGTCGCCCAGATGTGCCTTGCTTTGAAATCTTTTCGCGAGATTTTGTAGGGTAGAGAGGATCTGGACAGAAGAAAATTGGGATCCTGCATGATTCTGGACCCATAGTAACTGTGCTATCTCTTATGGTGTTGATGACACTGGTAATAGCAGGTGAACTTGTGCTATACATACATTCATGTATAGCTCCTGCATCATTTGAGCGCCAAGACAAACATTTGAGCTACAAAAGAGTTTTAGTAGCAAAAAATGTAAAAAGATAGAGAAGAAGACCGATATAGAACATAATCCTACTAGTGACCATTCTCGATACGAGCTTATAAACACACAATTTTTGCTCATAGAACAGCAACTCGAATGACTTGTAATAGTTACACGCGAAGAACTTAAGCCAATATTTTCCTTAAGTAACGTTACTTTATTTTTAATGAAGTGTAATCACCATATTATTACTATATATTAGTCATATATGATTCATATTATATTTTGACCCATGTTTCCCTCAATAAGCTGTCATAAATTGTCACAAATTGTCATAATTCCTATTCATGTAGAGAAGCAACTTGAGACGAATTTGTCCACGAAATCGATTACTATTACATGAAATAAAGTAGTAGTTTCACCCTATGCATACGATATATAACCAAGACAGAGAAATAAGAAGTTTTATAGAAGTTGTTTGACCTTATTTTCGAAACTTGGTCATATTGGTAGGAAGACTTAGAAAAACGCACCTAGTCCAGAGTCCATTGTATGCATCATCATTTTCAGAGTAGGACCGTGGACGTGGTGCATTCCCATTTTTTAGGAATTCCCATTTCTATACAACGAAAGGAGATTGCGACCACACAAAAAGCCACACCATCTTGGTCTTCATACCTTCGATAAGAAGTTTTATTCTGATCAAAGTTTTGAATGTATAAATCTTGATATTTTCACAATAAAGCATTCGTTCGAACAGGTAGGCATCTACTTGTCTTTGTATATTCATATTCTGCATA